GGACCATCGGCCCTGGAAGATGTTGTCGGCCAAGTGTGCCCCCCATCCTACCAGAGAGGCATCCGTGGTTATAGTGACTGATGGGGTTTCCCCCCTTTGGAAGGGAACGCCTGAGCAGACGTTTGTGTTTTGTCTACCATGTGAGTGAGTCTTTTACTCTGCTGGGCATTGTTGATAGAGTGTCTGCGAGGAATGTATACAGCGAGTAGCCAGGTTTGTAGACATCTCATATGCAGCCTGGCATGTTTCATGACAAACGTGGTATCCGACATGTGTCCGAGAAGTTGTAGGCATGTTCTGGCAAACGTTTGTGAGCTGTGTCTTACTGTTGTGATTAGGTTTGTTAAGGCAAAAAACGTTGTTGGGGTAGCCATGCTAATGCTGTGACATGAGGTGTGCCCCTATAAAGTGCAGTTGTTGGGTTGTGGTCCAGTTGGGCTGGATTTCTGTAGATTGGTTTGTAAATAGGGTTAGAGTGGTGTGAGTGGCGTGAACTGCCTCGTTGTATGTCAGTGTTTTTAGCAGGCAGTCTAAATAGGGGAATATGGTCAAACCCTGCTTGCGAAGATGTGCTGCTGCAATGGCCAGTACTTTGGAAAAAGCCCTTGGAGCCATAGAGAGGCCAAAGGGAAGTACCTTGTATTGGTAGTGTAGGTTGCCCAGAGTGAATCGTAGGAATCTCCTGTGCGCCAGGTGGATAGTGAGGTGAAAGTAAGCGCCTGTAGGGCGATGGCCGAGAGCCAATCTCCTTTCTCCAATGCCGGAATTATGGTTGCTAGGGTTACCATCTTGAAGCGCTGTGTTCTCACAAACTTCTTCAGTTTGCCTAAGTCCAGAATGGGCCTTCATCCACCTGTTTTCTTCGGAGTGAGAAAGTAATGTGAGTAGGACCCCCGACCCCTGTGCTGAACCGGTACTGGTTCTGTAGCACCTAATCGCAGGAGATGGTGTATTTCCTGCTCAGGAGATGGGTCCCTGAAGAGGGACGGGGATGGATAGGTGGAATGGAAAGAAAGGGGATGGAATAGCCCTTCTGTATAATTTCCAGAACCCACATATCTCTGGTAATGTTTCTCCAGACTGGGTAAAAGGGTGTAAGGCGGTCCTCAAATGGGCTGGAAATTAGAGGTGACACTTTAATTGGAGAACATGGGGCTCTCATGTCCTCGACCAACACTTCAAAACGTTTGCCTAGAAGTGGATGGCTGAGACGTAAACGACTGCTCCTGCATCTCACCTGGCACTGCTTGCTGCGTTGATCATAATGTCGTTGAGGCTGAGTGTTTGGGGCAGGACAGAATTGTTGGTTGTAGAATCTGCCCTGTTTCTTTTTGTTTGCAGGGATATAGATTCTACTGTCTTTAGTGTCACATGGGAGTCCTTCAAGGTGTGTGAGGAGAGGTCCGTGCTCTCTGCAAACAATTTTTGCCCTTCAAAAGGCAAGTCCTCTACTGTCACCTGAACTTCCCTGGGGACGCCCAAGAAATGGAGCCATGAAGTCCTCTACAAGACAACGGACATGGCGATGGAGCAGGCCGCCGTGTCAGCAGAATCCAGAGAAGCCTTTCAGGGCAGTTCTGGTGATGAGAAAACCTTCTGCAATAATCGGCTTTATACTGTTTTTTTTAGCTGGGATCTACTCAATAAAAGATGACATCTGAGAAAAAATTGTGTGTGCGCACGCGCCCACATGGCCAGTAACGTAGAATAGTTTGCTATGCGAAATTGGAGGGTCGCCTGCCAAAGAGGCCTAGGCCTTTCCAATCTTTATCGTAGGGGGTGGTTTTGGTTTGATGTTGCCTCCCCCTTTGATTAACTGCCTCTACCACCGATCAGTTTGGAGTAGGGTGGGTAAGCAAAAACTCAGCTCCTTTACACGACACATAGTACTTCTTGTCAGATTGCTTAAAACGGGGCGGGCAAACTTTTTGGCCCGAGGGCCACATCTGGGTATTGTGGGCCATGAATGCTCACGTAATTGAGGTTGGGGTGAGGGCTCTGGCTGGGGGTATGGGCTCTAGGATGGGGCCAGAAATGAGAAGTTCTGGGTGCAGAAGGGGACTCCAGGTTGGGGAAGGGGATTGGGATGCAGGGGCGGCTCTAGCCGGGGGTGCAGGCTCTGGAGTGGGGAAGGAGTTTGGGGTGCAGGAGGGTGCTCTTGGCTGGGATCAAGGGGTTTGGAGGGCTATCAGGGCTGGGGCCTGGGAGGGGCTCTGGGGTGCAGGATCTAGGTGGTGCTGACCTCAAGCAGCTCCCAGAAGCAGCAGCATGTCCCGCCTCTGGCTCCTACACAGAGGCGTGGCCAGGCGGCTCCGCGCACTGCCCCGTCCTTGCAGTTCCCATTGGCCCCAGTTTCCAGCCAATGGGAGCTGCGGGGATGGTGCTTGGGACGGGGCAGCATACAGAGCCCCCTGGCTGACCCTACACATAGGAGCCGGAGGGGGGACATGCCCCTACTTCAGGGAGCCATGTGGAGCTGTGGCATGTGTGCACGGAGCAGCCCCTGACCCCGCTCCCCAGCAGGAGCTCGAGGGCCGGATTAAAATCAGCTGGTGGATTTTGTGGCCCGCAAGCTGTAGTTCGCCCACCCTTGGTGGACAAGAAAGCGGGGCCGTGGCTGGAGTCTGCCATAAAGCTTTTGCTGAGTCCATGATGGCAGCATTAATGGATAGTGCTATATTGCAAGCTTTTCTGTCAGCCAAAATATCTGTCAGCTTATGTTAGTCTCTGGCAACTCAAGCAGGAGATGTATAATGAATCAGCTACTCTTTTAAACAAATCCTGAAAGGATTTGAAGTCATCTCCTGACGTGGCGGGGGGGGGGGGGGGGGGCATTATTGTTTCGTCCAGAGACGAAGTCGGGATGTGGGTAGGTAGGAGGATGTCAACCTCTATCCTGTCTGCAGCTTCCTCCTCCAGTTCTAGGGAAGCTGGATCAGACAGCAGAGGCGACCGCTCTGTCCTGGACCTAGGTGGACTGGATGGCTGGGTGGTTTGGGCTCTGTATAATGCTCAGGGGTCCCAGTATGCCCACTGAGGTGGGAAGGCCATGGGAGGGGGCACCCAAGTGGAGGTTGCCAACCCACGCCTTGTGACCGAGCAGGTCCAGGTTTAGGAGAGGGGTGGTAAGGTGTGCCCACTCCTGTCTCCACTTCATCACTGGAGAGAGGAGGGGACGAGCCAGCGGGTGTAGTGATAAAGCTTGGCCCTGACCTGGCCAGGGCGTCATCGGTGCCAAAGAGCGAAGTTCCCAGGGTGGAAGCAATGAGTAGGTCTGTATGGCTGACAAACTGTTGTGGTATCTGGGAGACTCAGTGGCAGCAGTGCAGGCTAGCTGAGGTTGGGAACCAGACTTGTCATATTGTATTGGTGCAGCAGGTGGCGCCACAGTGCTGCTTTGTGTCTGAGGTTTCTGTTCCCTGGATTCCAAGCTAGGAGAGAGAGAGAGACCGCATAGGGTCTTTTGCTCCTCGAGACATATCGGTACTGGATAGTCCCAGTGCCTCGCAGTCGGGCGCTCTGGGTGCTGTCTGTACCGGGGCAGTTTTTGCGGTCGGGAATCGCTTTTTGTGACTTTGATAGGACCAGGGTCCTTAATTGTAATTTTTTGCATATCTGAGGCAGCTGCAGGTGAGGTTTGGCAAGGTGGTGCCTGGACTTGGGGTCGGAGGCAGGTCAGAGGGATCTCTCCATCATCATTACAAGTTTTAATTGGAGGTCCCTGGCCTTTCTTGTCCGCACTGTGAGTTTCTTGCTGTGGGGACACTTTTGCCTGGGGGGAACACACATTACCCAACGGACACACTGCGAGTGGCTGTCTGTCACTGGTATTGAGAGTCCCCAGGTCAGACAGCGCTTGAAACCTGGAGAGCCAACCCAGCATGTCTGAGAGGCTAGCTGAATGAAGAATGGGAATAGTCCAGGTCTAATGCCTCTTCAATGGCTGCCCGCCTGAGGCGGGGAGAAAAACGGGAATTTTTTGTTTTTAAATGTGAAAATGAAAGAAAAATGAACAGAGAGAAACAATTAGGAAAACTAACTTACAAAAGGGCAGAGATTAAAGGAATACGAGAGTAGATAAGGGCACTGCTGTCGTTCCGATAGAAACCAAGGGTGGTAGAGAAGGAACTGGGTGGCGGTTGGCTGCACTCGTGGGAGAGCGGAGCAAGACAGATGCCATGCATGTACGGCCAACCGGGGCACTGCTACCACAAGTCTCTGATTAGAAGCTCAAGGCGCCAAGACATCTGAAGTGGAACACCCACAGGGACACTCCTTGAGGAAGAACTATGACTTTCAGCATTTCTGTATCACTGGAAATTTCAAAGTAACACTAATATCTGGAGTTAATACCCTGCAGATACCAAAGAAAACATGATCCCAGGGTTTGGCTAAATGACAAAGCAATTTGTAAACGCTCTGAGACACTTATGCAGTTGAACACATTTGCTGCTACACATCAACATTTTTAAAAGTTACTAAGAAAAACTGTCTGCTGCTACCAACAGAAGTTATGATTGCAGTTTTACATCAGTAGCCAACAAATGTACCAAATACTGAAACTTTTAGAAGTGCGTATATTAGGAGTTACCATGGAGATGCAGTTTGAGCAGGAATTATATAGCAATACTTTAGCCTTTATTAAAGATTGACAAGAATAAAGTTAATAAATTATTAATATTTCAGACTTGGCATGTACTACATTTCCATAGTTCTGCTTATTTTTCTAAGACCTAGTATGCACAGGCCAGGCTCCCAAGGCTGTGGAGCACAAAGGACATATTACCACCACTCATAGCAGTTATTCAAACACTTTTTGAGGAATCCCTGGACTAGTAATATTTTTGTATATCAACTTATGCTTATTCTTATCTGAGAGGCAACAATAGCCTCGAGCAAGCACATTTTGCTCTGACACTACAAATCAGTGACATCGTTTGTCTAGATGACCAGTTGGTAAGCATGGCAAGATAAAAAGTCAATCCAACATTTAATCCTACCTTTTTCACATTTGTCTTCTGAAGTATTAGCCAAGAGTGGTGCAGTGAGAACATGCATACAATGGTTGTAGAAGAAATTGAGAAATTCACTTTTCTCTGTTTTCTGAAACAAACATATTTATTTATTAAACATTGGTGTGAATTTAGTGACCTTGCTAGTGAGGACTAATAGCACTTAAGTAAAATACAGCACAGGCAAGACATAAGCTACCTCACATAGCCTTGATAGTACCTTTTGATACAGATTTGCAACACATCAGGCGTTCTCTAGAGTAGACTATACCCATCAAACCCAAAGATGTAGAACAGAGTGGGAGGGACTAGGATGAGAACAACCTTATGTAATTTGGGATTAAAGCAAAAGCATAAACTCAAATCTCTTCAATGGAGAAAGACAAATGAACTGACACGAATGCATCACATAGTGCCTTTAACCAACAATTTAAAAAGGAAAGAGTTGACAGTAATTTTGCATATATTGCCTGAAGCTTCTGTATATAATTTAAAAAAAAAAAAAGAGGGACCACTATCCTCACCAGTTCTCTACAATGCATACAACATTTAAGGATTGCTGCATGTACATAAGGTTACTAGATTTTACTTTAAATACTTCTTTTGGTGGCTACAATGCCAAACCATCTAACACAGGCACATCTTTCTAAGAAAAAAACAACGGCTACTCACCATAACATAGCAAAGTCTAATTTGATTCAAACCCCAGAGACCTAAACTTTATAGAACATTTTAATCCAAAGGAAATGTATGGATTCAATGTAATGAAAATTAAATGGAATTATCAGAACTCTGGGCAAAGTTTTAAAGCAAATTTCAAGGAATCCTGGATTTTTGATCATTTGTGACAATATAAACAGAATTATACCTACGACCAAGTATTCTATCAGGATAAAGTACATTCTGTAATATGGGAATCTATCAAGTTGGATTTGCATTACGCTGTAGGAATTAAACATTGTTTTAGCTTCATGCAGACACACTGGACTCTTTTTTCAATGTTTTGATGTGACCCACCCAGCCAATAGGAGCTAAGACTAGCCTAATACCCACGTGTTTGGGGAGAAGATTGCCAATTTTAAGAACTTCTTAGACAATGCCATGTTTCTTAGCATTAATTAGAGACAATAAATACAGATCAGTGCCTTTCATTAGCAATAATTTTATTGAAATTTTGCAGTTGACTAAAAACCCATCAGGCAAAACAGGACAATACCAAAATGCTTTTCCTTCCCACTTTCCTCCAACCAAAGAAGACAGAAAGAGTAAGACGACTTTTTAAATGTGCATAGACAGTAAAGTTTCATTACCCCTTTGCATTTTCTTACATTAGCTGTGGCCAACATATTCTCTGGATCAATCAGAGTACGTAAGAGCCCCATTAATTGAACAGCCCCACCAAGCTCAGGGTCAGTATCGCAGATCATTTGCTCAATAACTACATTGATGAGGAGGATATCCTGCAACAAAACAAGTCAATTACATATAAAAGTTTTCAGTAATACAAATACTACTAGATTTTTTTTTTTTTAAATACACATTGATTTTTATTTGGTCTCTAGCTGCTACCATTGAAAGTTCACATGTGAAAAAAGTAACTGAAAGCCAATGCAAAATCTGAGTTTCAAATATTAAAACAGTAAAGTGGAATGGAAAAAATAAAAATTACTTGAAAATGAGCCTAGGTGAAAAAAATCGAATGTCTTTAAAAATCAGGTGCACTTTTCTCCCTCAAGGTGTCACTCCAAGGCAGCGCCTTAATCATGAATTTCCATACTTTAGCCTGTTTGTATTTCTTTTACATTTAATGTTAGGTCTGAACCCTCCTGAGTTTGTAATGCTTGTTTTTGGGAGAATTATAACATCCCTCTAATGTTTTATATTCTATGTAACTGTATGTGCTCTCAACCTTAACTCCATCTTAATGTTGTTTTTGTCTAGTAATATGATACCTAGTACCCTGGATTTCACCTGGCAATTGATGGGAACCCATTCTATAATGAGCAAAATACAGGTTTTATGTGCTCACATCTTCCCACCCACCCCCAATCAGAATGCTGTTGCTTACTAAAAAAACTAACATTTAAGAAAATTTATATTTAGACTGAAAAGATCTCAATTCTGCAAAAAGCACAGAGTACTGTCTATACAAGTATAATCAGCATACACACAAGCTTCAGTATGTAAATTATTAGATAGTCCTGTAATATTCTTACTTACATCATCACTCTGTTGGGCTTCTTGCATTACAAATTCTCGGACCATGGATGGACTAAATTCTACTAGATAAGAAAATATATCTGTAGCAGCTGATCTAACTTGCAAGTCATCCATACCCTAATAAAAGTAAACTCAGTTTATTACAGATGAATCATTTGAGGTACAGTAGCATAGGACAATGATAAAACCAACATTTGATTGCGAGGTCAACTTAGAGAATTTTTCACTTGACCACAGCTCATAGAGCCGAGAAGCAAGTCAACAGTCCCAATATAAAATTGGAAGAAAACTTTCCATACTATCCAGAAAGAGCCTAAAGATGTGTGATTTTGATGGCCATAATTTTAGCAGTTAGTAGTTAAAGTCCACATAGCAGTACTTAATATCTAGATACCAATATGCTATATTTATTACCACAGCTGAGTTAATTTAGTACAAAAGGGCCAATATAAAGGTTTACAAACGTATCCCAATTACGTACAACTGTTTACACTTACTGTTTACTCATCTACAGCACGAATACATTTATTCAGGAAACATTTCTCTTTCTTTCCGATAACTGGTCCTGGACCCGAGTCAAAAAAATTCAGATCTAGAAATATTTGTACTGATCTACAAAGGCGCATTACAGCCTTAAAAGATCATGAGATTTTAGGACTTCAATATTGTGTTAGTGTGATGTTCTTGTTTCCACTTAATTTGTGATGTGTTTATAGTAGCTAATGTCTACTGATCTGCTAAAGTGAGAGATTAACATTCTAGAGCACTTGAAAGTTGGGATTCAGAATGTTTACGTGGTACACAAAGCATTGTTTTTAGGTAGAGTGGTAGCAGCTAAATCACATCAGAATTGAAATGAAGGAAAACAAATTGGAAAACAATATTTATGCTCTAACATCTCGATCTGTCATGATTAAAAATGTTTCATACCAGTAGAAAGATGGAATTTGCAGCTTTCCAAAGGAATATAAATCATTTGTTTCTAGTCACAAAACTGTCACTAATACCTTATATATTGTGGTACTGGTTCAGGACTAAGCATACCAGAGTTGAGTCAAGAGATCAAGAACTAATGCAATTTCAAATTCTGCATTCATATCAAAACCAGGGACATTCCACACTTTTCTCTCCACCATGCAAGTTTAAAATATATTTTTTTAAATTATGACCAAAGTAGTCACTGATTTTGGGTGCTCCACTTGAGACACTGTGATTTTCAGAAGTGCAAAGCTGCAACTGAAGTCAAAGGGGCTGCAAGTGCCCAATAGGTCTGAAAAAAAATCAGCCCACAGTGTCAAAACAGGGCACCAGAATTCAGTGCCCTTTTAAAAATAATTTGGCTGCAGGTGATTCACTTACCATTACAATTTCAAGAGCAGGAAGAATTCCCAACTTTGCCAAAGTTTTGAAAAACGCATCTCTGTTTTGAGGTTGTAATGTCTGAGAAAATGCGCAGAACTCCTTGAAAAAGTTAACCTATAACATTTGAAAGAAATATTAACAAAACATTTGTGTAATTAAATTCATAGTATATCAAAGAAAAATAGTGAACTATATTGGCTAAAAACACTTGAGAAACCTGTTATACTTGGGTAATAATGGTAAAAGGCAGCTAGGAAAAAAATCTGATTTATCCAACTTGAATCTCAAATGTTGTTATATGACAAAAAAGAAAAACCCTCCTGAAAAAATGGAAGTGAACACCTAGTTATCTTACTGAACTGAGTATATGAAGAATTTAAATTGTTGTCTGGCATATCTATTGTTTAAATACAACAATAACTATTTCTTTTTCTCCAATATGTTCTTGTCTCCAATACCATAATTCATTCTAATGAGAGGTAAACAGGTTCAGGGAGAAATGCTCGCTATGCAACATGGTGTAGAGAATCAGGGTGGCAGCTATAAATACAAAAATAAGGGACTCCAGAGGTCATCCTTCCTTCAGTTACAAATAAGTCAAAGATTTTTAAGTACAAATCAGCAGGCAGTCCCAGTAGCCTGTAAATCATTAAATTTAAATTTGTTCACAGTGACTTTTCAGCAATCTCAGGACTTCTGACAATAGGCCTTTCTGTGAAGGATACAGCCAAAATTGCGGAACTCAGCAGTACTGCGTAGGATAAACAATATTACGACTACATAATGGTGAAGAAAACTTTAAAGTGTCTACATTCTAATGTCCTAGGTGATATTGTCAACAGTAAAATAAAGAAAACTACAATTTACTCTTTACTAGAGTTTGAAAACTCAATCAAGAATTTGTTGCTTCATTTTAGGAATACCTTTTTGCCGTCATTAAGAAGTAACTGAAGGGAAGGTTCGCAGTACAAATTTAATACTTAAGTCTCTGAAGTTTCACATGCAAAGAAAGGACTCACCAATTCACGTCTTTTGTCATCATCTGTAGCTTCATCTGTTAATTGTGCAAAAACTTCAGACAGAAACTTCTCGTCTTCCTGCATAATACATTATAGCAATTACTATTACATCATAATAGTCCAAACGAAAAACCTATTCTACTATACAATGCCAAAGAGAAGAGAGATATATATAGGCATAAAATAAAATTCTCCACTTAGCTATGTGCTTGTGCTTTAGAATCTAGCATATTAGCTTGGTGGTCTTGCTAGCTAAGTTACAGGTCATGTACTTCGACATTTTCATCATAAATAAGGAAATCCAAGCATGCAGATTTTAAAGTGTGTGTTCCAATGGATGTTATTGTATTAAGCATTATTTGATGTGAAATGCCTTGCATTAAACTTATAGTATTTCACAGAAACTAAACTCTATCAGAACTAAATGGGTCAAATTTTGCCCTCAGATAAATACACTTGTAAAACGCCTACTGATTTAAGTGAGAACAAAATTTAGATCTAACGTTTTAGCCTAGTAACAGCATACCTTTATTCAGTACAGTAAAAACATCTCAAGTTCTAATGCCAAGCTTTTTAAATCCTGTTTTGTTGAACAAGAGACTGGCTTAGAAAATAAAAACCATCTCTCAACATGTTACTGCAGAAAATAAGAGGATACCAAGCTTGCTTCCTGAAGTGTCAAACTTACATAAATACTATCTCCCTTACTACACACACTATCCCTCACTTCTCTTTCTAATGCTCTTTTCATGGCTCATGCCTCCCAACCCATCCGCATATACTCAATTATACTGGTATAACTGTGTTCACACAAATAGTTTTGCCAGCCATTTGGTCTGCTTTTTCTCCTTTTATAGTGAAGAGGGGTTTTTTTGTTTGTTTGTTTTTTTAAAAAGGACATAACTAGAAAAACCCTCTAGGATTATGCCATGGCTTAATCCCCAAAGAGTAGAGAAAAGCAGTGTGAACAGTACCATCCCTCAGTTGTTCAGCCATTCCCCACTCCTACACACTGTTCTCTGTATTTTTTGGTATGAGAAACAAGCCCTGAGGAATCATGATACCACTGTGTCACTTTGGTTTAAAAGTACCACCAAAGGTTTTAAATATACAGTGACAACAGAGCGTTTACAAAAGTTGTAAACCAGTACACCGATTTAAATATAAAAGCACTTTACTATGTACCAACCTGTAAAAAGCAGCATCTTTTCAAGAAACATCTACCCAATATATTCACTTGTACATTACTGTGCTATTAATTTAATAACTTGCCCTATGTACTGATCTGAAAGTTTGCTTACTGGTAATTACCCGCTTAAGATAAAGATTATTTTTCATTTAAAATTATAAAAACATTACAAAGTCTGTGAAATTCCATACAGCACAAGGGTACTCTGCCCAAGGTCATCTCTACACTACAGATAATATAGCGGCATAGCTACAACACCATGGCTATGCTATCATAACCCCATTGAGTGGAGGCAGACTACAGCTATGATACGGGTTTTTCCATTATTGTAGGAATGCTAGGTTGACAGAGGCATTCTACTCCAGGGGTTAGGTTGGCATAGCTACAGTGCTATTTTTCACACCTCAGAGAGCCATAGCTATGTCATCCTAAATTTTAAGTGTAAACTGGCCTAATGCCAGCCTGCTTTTTGGAAACCTATAAAGGCACCCGGGAAAAAAAAAAAAAGTTTAAATGTCTTCCAAATGGAACAGACACTATGGGCAAAATTCAGAGGCAAAGCGTACCTTAGGCTTTTTCAAAAGTAGAAAGGGTTTGCTGGTATAGATATTTTGGAAAACCTCCTCCTACTGGAGACGCAGCTTATACCCATAGGCAGAAGAGGTTTTAACTGGCATAGCTTATATCAGTTCCCCAAATGAAATAAATTATACCAGCAAAAGGACTTTTCTGATGGTATGACAGCCTCTACAGTAGGGCATAGTACAGCTATGACAGTTAGGGGTGTGATTTTTTTCAGACATCTAACCAAAGCTTTGCTGGCCTAGCTGTTTAAGTGTAAACCAGGCCTTAGAACCCCTTAAAGTCATCTCCTCTGACGTAACTCACTAAGGAGCCAGTTACACCTTCTAACACCTTTCTCCAGCTCCTCTGCATGCAAGTTGTATAACCCATCTGAGTTTGACCCTGTGAGCCTAAGGGAGACTTAAAGAGTCTAAACAGGTGTAACACATTGAGAAAACTAATAATGTAAGTTTAAAACAAAACAAACCTGTACTATTACACTTGACCAACTCACTTCTGAATTTGACCTGCTGTATTATGACCCCTTTTTACTAAGGAATATATTGGATCCAAATTATTCTCCAAGGCCACTGACTTACACAGTACAGCAGTATTAATTACCCACCAATGTTTACAAAATCATTTGATAACCTTCAGTTATATTGAATTAATTCTGAAAATGCACCACAAAAATGAAGATGTAACTAGTGCATGTTATCTGCACTATAATTGAGCAATACCTAGTATCTGGTGGTATTTCTATATTTAGCAAAGTTCTACCCAAAGTGAATAAATAATTCAAAGACAACTTCAATAAACACCCTTTGCAATTTTTAAGTTTACTAGGTTAACCAGAAGTAGTGAGGAACGCAGTTGGAGCCGCTTCTATGATTAGCTTTAGAAATTAACTCCTGAATTTTAAATCCTATTCACACTTCATTCAAGTGAATGAGGCTGTCAGAGACTCAGCAGCTGGGTCAACTTATAAAGAAAAGTGTTTTCCAGAGCAGTTACAGTAAGACAAAAAAAACATTTATTAGTCCTCTCCACTATTGGGAAAGGCCTCTCTTGTCTCTTAAAGAGAAAGGTGTCTAACCCGCTGCTCAAAGCAGGACCAACCCTAACTAAACCATCCCAGCCAGGGCTTAAAAAACTCTAAGGATGGAGATTCCACCACCTATATAGGTAACCCATTCCAGTGCTTCACCAACCTCCTAGTGAAATAGTTTCCCCCCCCTCCCCCCTCCCCAATATTCAACCTAGACCTCCCCCACTGCAACTTGAGACCATTGCTTCTTGTTCTGTCATCTGGCACCACTGAGAACAGCCTAGCTCCATCCTCTTTGGAATCCCCACCCCTTTTCAGGTAGTTGACGGCTACTAGCAAATCCCCCCCTCACTCTTCTCTTCTGCAGACTAAATAAAGGACAGTTCCCTCAACCTCTCCTCATAAGTCATATGCCACAGCCCCCTAATCATTTTTCATTTCCCCCTGCTGGGCTCTCTCCAATTTGTCCACACCTTTTCTGTAGTGGGGGCCCCCAAAACTGAATGCAATACTCCAGATGTGGCCTCACCAGTGCTGAATAGAGGGGAATAAATACTTCCCTCCATCTGCTGGCAATGCTCCTACTAATGCAGCCCAGTATGCCATTAGTCTTCCTGGCAACCAGGTCACACTGTTAACTCTCATCCAGCTTCTTGTACACTGTAATCCCCAGGTCCTTTTCTGCAGAACTGCCGCTTAGCCAGTTGGTCCCCAGCCTGTAGCAGTGCATGGGATTCTTCTGTCCTAAGTGCAGGGCTCTGCATTTGTCCTTGTTGAACCTCATCAGATTTCTTTCGGCCTAATCCTCCAATTTGTCTAGGTCATTCTGGAGCCTATCCCTACTCTCCAGCATATCTACCTCTCCCCCGAGCTTAGTGTCATCTGTGAACTTGCTAAGGGTGCAATCCATCCCATCCTCCAGATCATTAATAAAGATGTTGAACAAAACCGGCCCCAGGACTGACCCCTGGGGCACGTCGCTCGATACCGGCTGCCATCTAGACATCGAGCTGCTGATCACTACCCATTGAGCCAGACAGACAATCTAGCCAGCTTTCTATCCACCTTATAGTCCATTCATCCAATCCATACTTCAACTTGCTTGCAAGAATTCTATGGGAGACTGTATCAAAAGCTTTGCTAAAGTCAAGGAATATCATGTCCAACGCTTTCCTCATATCTGCAGAGCCAGTTATCTCATCATAGAATGCTTGGTCAGGGATAATTTGCCCTTGGTGAATCCATGCTGACTGTTCCTGATCACCTTCCTCTCCTTCAAGTGCTTCAAAATGGATTCCTTAAGGACCTGCTCCATGATTTTTCCAGGGACTGAGACAAGCATGTCTTTACTACAGGGGGTAATACAACAATTTAGGTTTTCCCTCCTGTGTGAAGGGACTACTTTCATTCACATACACCTTTAGCAGCAACAGCCACCGTCACCATCCTGATGTGGAATAGGTGGCTTATGGAAAGTAGCTTTTAAAATATAAACATGTCAGTGTGCCCCACTTGCACACATTTCAAAACCTGGCTACTTGCGCAACTACAGCTATCATCTAAATTTTATGTAAAGAAAAAAAAAAACAAGTAAACTTAAGACTGCAAAATTTTCATTACAGTAGTTGAAAGTAATGGAGAAGTGACAGAACATATCAAGGCCTCAAACACTCTTCAGGGGCCAGTAAAGAAAGGAGTTAATCAGCACAGGGATCAGAGTTTTCTGTTAAGATGCAATCAGACTTTCACAAATAAGTTGATGAAACCTAAATTGGAAAAACAGCACACTGAAATAGCGTTTGGAGGAAAAAGAAATCCAGACCCTCCCTGACTTATGCAAGCGTTCCATTCCAGAACATCTTGTGTAACTTGAATTTTGCATAAGTCAGAAATGTATCCCCAACCATTACACAAAAAACACTCCTATTTCTAGCTTACAGAACTTTTTCCGTAAACTTGGATTTGCGTACGTCAGGTTTACGTACCTTGGAGAGCGTCCGTAAAACAAACACCAATAACCCCAAAGTCCTGAGATGGTGTCTCAGAAAATAAAGAGCTTTCATTTCATTTTTATCTGTAGCAAGATCCCACATAAACAAAAATAAAATGAGGGAGAAAGGTTTCTCTTTAAGAGAACGGTGTCTCAAACCCAAATTCTTCTATTAATTTTGTTAGTTGGCAGTTTTATTTTTGAGTTTCTTTAGGCTACCAAATCAGTTAACTAATGTCAAACTTAACCAAAGTATGAGAAGTTCATACAATCCACAACCTAAAAGCAAGCAATTCCCTTATATAATTATTCTTTTCTCTCAGTGTTCTGCTGCACCTTCTGGGAATTTCACACCTCACACCATCCCTTATGCCTTCCTCCCTCTCTGGTCTCTTTCTGGGATTTTTATTGATCCCTCACTTCCTTTAGTACATCTTCTGATCCCCTTCACCTTTCCTGGAGACTACCTATGCCCAGAGATTAACCAGTTTCACCCTTTGAGAAAACCCTCTCTGCACAACAGCCTAGAGCAGGAGCAGAATAAAATCAATTAGGTACCTGTCAGTTTTACTCTGGTGCTAGCGTAATACAGCAACAGAATTTGGGTTGGAAAATAGAGACTACCCACAATTCCATGTGAAGCATAAATGGGCCTTTCACCAAAGCACTGTCTGGTACTTCCTGGTGGTGCTCCAAGCTATTCTTCTAGTACTTCTGGCTAGTAAGTGTCTGATAAATGTTTTTTTAAGCCCAACAACAGTTTTGCTTTTATTATTAAATACCACCATGGGGCACTGATGTCAAGAAGCACTAATCAAATTAAGTTGGTTGTTATAAAGCAGAGGTTCTCAACCAGAGGTCTTACAGGAGTTACGTCAACTCATCTAGATATTTGCCTAGTTTTACCAAAATCATAAAAAGCACTAGTGAAGTCAGTACAAACTAGAGTTTCAAACAATGACTTGCTTATACTGTTCTATATACTATACACTGAAATGTAAGTACAATATTTATATTTCAGACAATTTATTTTATAATTATATGGTAAAAAAGAGAATAAGCAATTTTTCAGAATACTATGCTGTGACATTTTTGTCTTTTCATGTCTGATTTTGTAAGCAAGTAGTTTTTAAGTGAGGTGTAACTTGGGGGTACGCAAGACAAATCAGACTCCTGAAAAGGGTACAGTAGTTTACAATAGTAACTCTCAATCTTTCCAGAGCACTTACTTGGTGCCACAAATGAATAGCACTAATGTAGTTAACATGCTCAGAAACATTCCTGTGATACCTATTACAAATGGGGGATTAATGATCTGCTGTGAAAATATTTTGTCACACTGAAGTGTTGCTATCCATAAATATAAGAGAAATAAAACTGCATGCTGTCTGATGAAAACAGTTTCAAATGCATTGTAATTCACTCACAGATTGAGGACTACGCTATAGATGTGTGAAAGTTATTATGGTACTTCTAGTCTATTCACCATTTTCCACTGCAGCATTTTGCTATTTATAATCAGTTTTTGAAGACTATGATACATAACAGCCATCTGACATGTATTTTAAACTCAATTTTTATGCTTTTATGTCATATAACAACATCTGTTTAAAGTGTGGGGAAGCACCAAGGATACTGTGCAAACAGAATGAAAGCTGTACATGATTAAACAACACTGAATTAAAGATGTACAATTGGAAGTCTCAATTTACAATCCCGTCCCACCTTCTTCAATTCACTTACCTGCAACATACTGACAATCTCAACTTTGTTGAAGAAAATAAAGGAAGTGAGGGTAGAAAGAAAATTCTCTTCAAAAACTGACGGTGTTGGCAAGATGATGTCCTGAATGTATTGTACCCTGTAAGTCTGATGAATCTTTTGCCTAAGTTCAGAGTCTGTTATAGGTATAACCTCTTTAAATTTTGCTGTTTTGGTCAAGAACTCCCTGTGCCTTTTTGGCTGAGCCAAAGCAGGGTCGTACTCGAGGCATCCCACAACATCCATAATACACTCATCAGAAAACATTACCTCAAACAGAGTTGCTTTATTGAGGAACAAAATTCCTCTAATAATTTCATACAAATGATGTAAACCTTCAGTGTTCTCTAGATTCTCGCAAACCTGGAAAAGCTGCAATAGTTTTTTAATGTAGCCTTCATTTTCCAAGGCAAGCGCTAACTTTTCTCTACGGATGGGTGAGGAGAGAACAGAGGTAACTAGATCAGCAATCTCTTCAAGTTTGTTGAGTTCACAAGTAGGAAGATCAATCAAATGACTAGTTTCAGGCATTTCTTCAAAGCGTTCTTCTTCGGATTCATCAATAAGGTCCTGTGTGACTTCCACTGATGGATCTTTACCTTGAACCTAAAAAGGTAATGTAGACAATTACTGTTTTATCCCAAAATATACATAAGACATACAGAAAACATTCAAGTTGATAATTTATGTAACTCATGTATAATTATATACAATAGAACTTCAGAGTTACAACACCTTGGGAATGGAGGTTGTTCATAACTCAAAAAAAAACAAAAAACACCCCACTATGGCTGTTTTTTCAAAAGTTTACAATGGAACATTGACTTAACAGCTTTGAAACTTCACTATTCAGAAGAAAAATGCTGCTTTCCCTTTTTATTTTAGTAGTTCATGTTTAACAGACTACTGTGCTATATTTGCTTTTAAAAAAAAATTAAATGTATTTGTTGGTGTCTGTTGCTGCCTGATTGCATACTTCTGGTGCAAATGAGGTGTGTAGTTGACTGATCAGTTCATAACTGTACAGTTTCTACTGTAGTGCCAACAGCTTGCTAGGCACTTTACAGCCATGTATGAAAATAAGGTCACTGCCTTAAATAATGATCATTTAAAAATTCTATACTTATTTCAAAACAAGGTAACTTTGTAAACCTTACAAAAAGTTCTTTGTTTCTTTGTAATTCCTCTGAATAGTCATATTATAGAATTAAAATGTCCAAGAAGATAGAGATAGTGAAGTTTTTACAGTATTCATATCATGAATACCATAAAAAGAACAATCCTTTTTGTAAGCTGGGCTAGCAGAAGCACTAGGGAAACCCAATTATTAAAAAACAACTGTTTCCATTCCTATTTTGGACATTGGTCTGAAAGTGACTTGTAAAACTAACAGAAATAAAATCTAAAAAATACAAGTGCAAGCTTAGACAGCATTTGGATTATATAACTAGGAATACACTTCAAATATTTAAAGTGAATACTATGACTCCTGAGGGAATTCTGCACCACTACGCAAGGCAGAATTTGTGCAGAACTTCCTTTTCCTCCCACAGAAATGGGCTGCAGAGCTGCTGAACCCCATAGATCCTGACAGGAAGGAGGGAAAGGGAGCTGGAGGGTTCCCAGCAGCTGCAGTACTAAGCATGCCCTGAAGGAAGGAGATGGAGTGCAGGAAATGCAATATAAACCCAGGACCCAGAATCAGTCTGTTTCTCCTTCTGGATCCTGGGTTCTGGTGGGCAGGGGGCAAGTGTGTCTGGGCTGGGGGGAGTGGGCACAGCTGGGCTCTGGTGGAGAAGGGGTGAGTGTGTCTGGGCTGTGGAGGGGCCTGCGGCTTGGCTCAGGGGTGCGTGTGTCAGGGGTGCAGGTGTCTGGGCTGGAGGGGGTGAAGGAGCACAAATGGGCTCTGGGGAGGTCTGGGGGAGAGTGCAAGTGTCTGGGCTAGGGAGGGAAGGGAGCACAGCTGAGCTCAGGGGGATAAGGGATGTGTGCACAAGTGTCTGGGCTGGGGGGGTCCCTGCAGCTGGGCTCTGGGGGATAGAGGTGTGGGGGTCTACCTCTCCTGCTGGGCTCTGTAGGGGAGGGAGCAGAGAAACAGGAACTAGGTTGTCATAGGGGTTTCCTTAACTCTCTACTTCTTGAGGAAATTGTGTCTAGTGTTAGAGACAGTTGCTGATAGGTATTTTGAAATAAATTACAAAGTAACTGAAATTGGCATGATTATGTGTTATTTTGACAAAATATGAAGAATTTTGCTGAATTTTAAAATACTGTACACAAAATTGTTAATTTTTTGGCATAGAATTCCCCCAGGAGTAATACTATACATATATTAAGTGAGGTCTATGAAGGGCTTTAATTTGGCTGTGTAAATGCAAAGTCTCCTGCATTTCCTTCTCTCCCCATGCAAAGTCTATTCTGTAGTAGGCCTTCTCCTGCCAATTGGAGTTCTAGGGTCAGAGGTAGCTACAGAGACTAGAACCACCCAGCTACTTATCCCATTAGTTTAATAAATAATAATAATAAAGCCTCAGCAGGGACTGAGCAGAAAAATACTTAGCTAAACAAGCTCAGGGTATCCTAGATGTACAAACTGAAGTTTTATGGAAGAGCTGTAAATCCTAAAAACTCAGTGTTTAAAATGGAAATATGGAAGGTCAACGACAGCAGCACTACGAGATGCTGTGAAGGAAAACTTAATTTGTTCATTATCCACATAAAAACGTACATAGGATTGTTTTGTACTAAACCTAATTATAATAAACCTAAATAACATAGCACAATTCTTCCTGCAGTGCTTTACAAACTAATCTTTCACTGTAATCTGACTTTGTAGTGCACACACAAGTTACAAAGCCAGAAAGGGCTATTGTGATCATCTCTAGTCTGACTTCTTGGGTAACACAGACCATAAGACCTCCCTGAATTAGTTAACATTTGAATTAGAGCATATCTTTTGAAAAAATATCCCATCTTGATTTAAAACATGTAACTAGGAGGTTACATATTTTATGTTTCTGTAGGCTGAGCTAATTGCACACACCAGGCACTCCTAGTCGCCATCCATTCTCCCTGACAAGATCGCTGTGAGCCAACCTCCTCGCCACTATTTCAGGGACTCGCTGCAACCCTCCCAGCCCCACCCCTCATTCCAGGGACTCTGTGTATATCCCATTCACCCCTCCCCCATACCATAGCTTCTGCACGCCTCCCCATTGTTCCTCCCAGGTCCCCATTCCCACCCATACCATGGGCTCTGATCCCCCCCCCCCCCTTTTCAGGGCCCCTCATTCTTCCCCTCCATAGCTGAAGCTCTGTGTGCCCCATCCTCTCTCTCTCTCTTTCTTTCAGGGCATCAATATTTGGAACTCAGTTGGGACATGGGCAGAGATAAAATGAGGGATATTCTTATGCTGGAATATGTTAATTTATACCATCAATTTATTCTTTGATCTATAGAAAATTACAGAAGAGGCGGACATTGTGGTTGTGCTAACCAAATGTCAAGGACTCAGTGTGCCCCTCATTTCCTCCCCCCCCCAGATTTTCATCAAAATAAATAGGGTGCTTAGAATAATCCCTGAAATTCATCAAATACAGCATTCAAAAGTTACTGCATTACATCAGAGAAATACCATCTAGTTGACTGTAAATAAGATATTTTTAATAAAATTCCAATCACACATCATAACATGGTCTCTTATTAACTTAATCAAATTGATGCAACTGAAAAGGACAATGTAAATATCAATCTCAAAACAGGTTTCTGATGTAAAGTTTGCTTCTCCTCTTGTATTGATTTTACAATTCCATTATCTTGTTACTCCTGTCTTTTAACTGTAAGTGACCAGAGTAAGTCCTGCAAAATCTGAATGATCTATGTATGATAAAAACCCACTATCAAGGATTATGAGTAAAATACAAAGTGCTTAATTCACATTTTCAAAAGTAACTTCTGCAATTAGGAGTCTAAGTCTCATTGAAAAAAATGGATCTTAGCCTAAGTGTCTACATCATTTTTGAGAAAGCAATTTAGGTCCCTTTAGAAGTTTTACTCTACATTTACATTTGAATAATGCTGTAATAGCGTCAGCCACCTTCCTATCCTCCCTCATGACCAGAGGTGGCTCTGCACTGCCCTGACTCAGTTTCCCTTCTTGCTTCCTCAATAACTCAAAAAGAGGCTTCCACAAGCCCAACAACAGCCCTTACTGAGGTCTGGTTTTATTAACAAAGTTCCAAAATGAACACAGAAAGGTCTTATCCTGGGCACAGCCCTTTCTCTGTGAGATACTCTCTCTTCCTCTGTTTTCTAAACCTTTGGAGAAGACAAGTCCTGGCCTGTCTTCCTTACTTTCTCCCCAGAAGAAAACTAGTTCTCCCAAGCCCCTTCAGGGAACACTTTCTCTCCCTGCAGCTTCACTCACTCTGTAGTTCCCCCTTGGCTGTCCAAAAAGGATGTTATGCTACCACCTCAGAGGCCTGGTTTAGTGACATGACTTGATCCACCTGGAGAGGCAAATCAGCTGTGTCACAGGTAGGCAGAGACTCACCTCCCTTTAGTAGAGCCAGCCACCCAGAAACATTTACAAAAATATGACTTCCAACATGAAAAATAGACACTTTATTCAAAATAGTAACAAAGACCTAGTAAACTTAGCATGTTACACACTTTTGACTTAAGTTACAATGCCATAAATAACTTCTGTTAGTATGGAATTTAAAAATTTGAAAGCTTAGCTGTCTTTTTATATCTAAAGAGCACATACAACAGAAATGTTTTTAAAAAATAAGTTTCATAATTAAGGATTATTATAATATGAGGCTATGCCCCTATGAGCCTGATCCTGAGACAGAAGTTAGACACACAGAATGTAAGTTAATGAGGTAATACACAGAACACACCTCTGGATGAAGATTAGTGGCTAGCTCCTCTGATCTTTGTTATAAAGAACAGTTAAACAAAAGCCAATTAGTATAGAGAACTGATCCAAAAATTAACACGGTTGGCTCATTATTTGTTATTGTTTCATTTACTCCAAGAACTGAAAAGCAATCTGAAGTGGACTGAAAGGTTGCTAATACTTGTAAAGACTATTACATCGCCAAAATATTCTCTTCTGCAGTAACATTTAGGGCCTAATCCTGCAATGTGTTGAACTCCCTCAACTAACAGCACACAATTTTTTATTTATTTTTTTTACTCCCTCAACCCAGTCAGTCACTACAAGAATTATTTTCTCCTCTTTCTCCAGAAGTAGTAAACAGCACTGTCAAAATGCTGAATCTCCCACATTGATATTAATGTATTCCTGGGGGAATTCTGCACCAGTGAGCAAGTGGGGAATTGGTCCTGCTTTGAGCAGGGGGTTGGACTAGATGACCTCCCGAGGTCCCTTCCAACCCTGATATTCTGTGAAGTGCAGATTTCATGTCCCCCACAGAATAATAGATTATGCTGGGGAGGTGCTGCAATTACACCTGTCACCCACCAGGGGCTGCTGTGGTGCCAGAAGAGAAGGCAGCTAGCTCACTGCTGGAGCAGCCAGCTGTGAAGAAGGAGGGGACAGAGGCTGCCTTCCTCATAGCACCTTGCCCATGGGCCCAGGTGAGGAGGCAAGGGACATGGAGGTGTGGAAGAGGACAGAGAAGGCCACAGACTAGAGTGGGGCCACAGGAGCTAGTGGGGTGACAACATTGAGCCAGGGGCTGAGTGGGGGTACAGGATTAGATGTGGGAGGGAGAAGGGAGTGCAGGGACACACGGGGATGGGAGCAGACATGCCTGACTGAATGGGGGAGGCTTTCCAACTCCCTAACAATCCCTCCACTCCACATACATACCCCCAAACAAAACCCTGTCCCATTCTTCTGCCACCCATACCTAACAATCCTCCAGGTTCACTCCAAGGCTCTTTCCCAGCAATTACTTCCCACTCCTTCAGCTCCTCTGTTACACCTGACTCCAAGCCTTTGCATTGCTTCAGAGGGGTGCGAGATAGACGTTTGTTTATTGTAGTTTGAATTATTACTCAAAGTAATCTATTTGTCAAAAAACATTTCCTGAATCATTTTTGTTATCTGTACTGTTAGACACATTTATTTCAAAATGTGTTAGCCAATTACCAAAATAATTGGAACTGGTGTGATTATAGTATGTTGTTTTGACAAAATATGCAGAATTTTAAAATATTGTGCACAGATTTTTTAATCATAGAATATCAGGGTGGGAAGGGACCTCAGGAGGTCATCTAGTCCGACCCCCTGCTCAAAGCAGGACCAATACCCAACTAAATCATCTCAGCCAGGGCTTTGTCAAGCCTGACCTTAAAAAACCTCTAAGGAAAAAGATTCCATGACCTCCCTAGGTAACCCATTCCAGTGCTTCACCACCCTCCTAGTGAAAAAGTTTTTCCTAATAGCCAACCTAAACCTCCCCAACTGCAACTTGAGACCAATACTCCTTATTCTGTCATCTGCTACCATTGAGAACAGTCTATATCCATCCTCTTTGGAACCCCCTTTCTGGTAGTTGAAAGCAGCTATCGAATCCCTCCTCATTCTTCTCTTCTGCAGACTAACAATCCCACTTCCCTCAGCCTCTCCTCATAAGTCATGTGCTCCATCCCCCAAATCATTTTTGTTGCCCTCCGCTGGACTCTTTCCAATTTTTCCACATCCTTCTTGTAGTGTGGGGCCCAAGAACTCCAGATGAGGCTTCACCAATGTCGAATAGAGGGGAATGATCACGTCCCTCCATCTGCTGGCAATGCCTCTACTTATACAGCCCAAAATGCCGTTAGCCTTCTTGGCAACAAGGGCACACTGACTCATATCCAGCTTCTCGTCCACTGTAACCCCTAAGTCCTTTTCTGCAGAACTGCTGCCTAGCCATTTGGTCCCTAGTCTGTAGCAGAGCATGGGATTCTTCCGTCCTAAGTGCAGGACTCTGCACTTGTCCTTGTTGAACCTCATCAGGTTTCTTTTGGCCCAATCCTCTAATTTGTCTAGGTCCCTCTGGACCCTATCCCTACCCTCCAGCCTATCTACCACTCCTCCCAGTTTAGTGTAATCTGCAAACTTGCTGAGAGTGCAGTCCACGCCATCCTCCAGATCATTAATGAAGGTATTGAACAAAACCGGCCCCAGGACCGACCCTTGGGGCACTCCACTTGATACTGGCTGCCAACTAGACATGGAGCCATTGATCACTAACCGTTGAGCCTGACGATCTAGTCAGCTTTCTATCCACCTTATAGTCCATTCATCCAGCCCAGACTTCTTTAACTTGCCGGCAAGAATACTATGGGAGACCATATCAAAAGCTTTGCT